TATATTTTTTATTGATTTTTTTAGAGAGAGGAAGAGAGAGGGATAGAGAGTTAGAAACATCAATGAGAGAGAATCATCGATAGCTGCCTCTTGCACACCCCCTACTGAGGATATGCCCGCAACCAAGGTACATGCCCTTGACCGGAATCGAACCCGGGTCCCTTCAGTCCCCAAGCCGACGCTCTATCCATTGAGCTAAACCGGTTTCAGCCATGCACCCATTTTTTATGTCCCTACCCAGAACTTTCAGAAAAGGTAAACAATAAAAAGAAATGGCTTGTTTATCACTTCTCTTCTTACTACTGAGTAATTAATTAGTAATTTGTGCACAAAAGAGAGAACATGTAATATGTAAGCAAAGGACTTAAAATAAATAACTTCAAAATATCTGCTAGGTGTAAATTATGGATAAAGTAGACACATGTTCCAATTAAAAAATAAGAGAAACTTGCATAAATCTCTAAGGAGTGTAGTTCCTTTTGTCCCCCATGTCTCTTTGAACAACATTCCTCCACAAGCTACACTTTAAAAATATTACTCCTGTGACTTTTGCCTCCAAAACCTAAAGAAATACATTTGGAGTATGATGCCTATGGTGTTGGAAGGGATTATTCTAGTTCCCTTTTCTCCCAATTGATTCTATTTTGTCACTATTTACCTACATTAATAGGTTGATTTTAGTTGACATGGTTATCAGCTGGCAGCAAATTGTGTCTGAGATTGATTCCTTGCCTCTATTATTTCTTATTCCCTTTATTTTCTTATTCCTCATTTTTCTTCCTTTTCCCTACTTCTTCATCTGTATTATAATCTTTATTTCATTTTAGAGCACACAATGTTTTTAAAATAAATATGAATCTTAATTAGTGAGAGAATATAATATAAAAGGAAAAGATGAAATGTTAATAATTGCATCAAAATCCTCTTATTTTAAAATAACTATTCCACACTAAGGATATGAAAACTTTAGGAGTTTAAGTTTCTACATATAACTGTGATTAGGTAATGATCCAATCTAATTTTCTTCCATTTTGATGATTTAACCTGCATAAAACCTCTTCCTTAAAAGTAGCTTTTTCTGAAATGAGACATAATATTGTAGGTAGACTCTAATTATAGGCAAGAATGTAACTAAACACAGATTGTTTTCAAATAAATGAGTGCATCTAGTAAATTCATCTTGGATATAAAAAAGTTCAGATACTTAGAATGCAGGTAGAGAGAAATGCTTTTTAAAACATAAGCATTTGGAAGAAATAAGGAATCTGACAGTTGCAAGTTTTATTAGTGATGATTCAGAAACTTTTAAGAGTTGAAGAAATGAGCAACTTTTAAATATAACCATTTTAGAAAAAAATATGCTTTCTGACCTAGTACCATAAAAAATCAGGTTATTTTCATTTCTACGCATTAATTTAACTTGTTTTTACTGTATCTGAAAATATATAATTTTATATTTTTGAGAGTGATAAACTGTGTTTGATGAATGTCAACCATTTGCAATAAAGATTCTTGAGTGTAATTTATAATAGTCATATTTCCATTCCAAATAAATATTATTATAACCGGAAAAGAACCTCGTTTCTAGTCTCATCATTGAATCTTAGCTGTAGGGAAAGAAATAATGAAGTATAAAACTTACAGTCACTGGCATGAGGCTTTTTAAAAAATGTTAAAAAGGTGAATAAGAAAATGCAAATATTGCAAGAAAGCAGTTCATGGAAATATTTTAGAATTTATTTCATGCACAGCTTTGAAATAAAACCGAAGCCACTATTCCCCAGGTGGCATGTGCACACGTGTGTGCAAACAGCACAGTAGTGTGCCAGATGAAAATGCAACATATGTATTCTTTTAGCTTTCTACATAACACAGAACAATCTGAGACATTCAAAATGACATGCCATTATTTGCACCAAAACTTCCTGGCACTATATTTGGTCTGAACAGGGAGTGGAAAGACCATTTGCAGAAAGAGGAGGAGTTGAGCGGTCCCAAGGTGGAGCTGCCTCCTGTGTCAAATGACACTGGCAGATTAAAACGCTCTGGCGGGGCAGGGCTTAGAGGCTGAGTCAAAAGCCAAGAAGTCTCTTTATTTACGCCTACCTCCCAGCCCTTGGCAATCTGACTAATAACAAAGTGAGCTAACAAGAAAGACTAGAAAGAGAGGAAAGAGAACATTGCTGCAGCTTGGATTCTGCAACCTCAGAAAGCAAGAGTGATCAGTCCCAGCTCTGCCAAACATCTTGTTTATGGACTGTGATCGGCAGCTTGCAAATGGTTAACTATATGCAAAAAACGTCAGCATAGCTGTGAAGTATGCCCTGAATTTTAATTGGGGAAGGAAAGGACAACTGCTTCAGGATGATCTAGCGTGCACTCTGCTTGAAATATTTTCAATGAGATGCTCAGCACTCTGTCTCTGGCCAGAGGCTTTCACTTTATAAAGTGACGGGACTTGCCAAAAAGTGATATTGGAGAAGAAAGTACAGGGTGGTTAGTGTTTTTCTTTTTCTTTTTTCTTTTTTCTTTTTTTTTAAATAAAGAAACTGAATTGACTTTGAGCATCTCTTCCAGCTGTGCATTACAGATAACGTCAGGAAGAGACTCTGCTTTACAGGTAAGATGAATGTTTCCGGGCTTTTGGGATGCCTAGTTTTTCATTATCCTAACGTGATTGAAATGTATATGTTTGCCCTTTTAAAAAATATAACTTTGCATTAAAGGGGGTCCGGTTTCATTCTTGTTCATTGATACAACTAATGCTGTAGCAGATGCCTGTTTTCTCTGAGCAGCAGACATTTAGTCCAACAGCTGGCTGCAGAGAAGAGCAAAATAGAATAATATGCCACCGTAATTTTTACAGCGTGCAGTTTGCTCTTGGACATTAAATGTGTGTGCTTTCTGGGAAATAAAGATCACTTCCACGTGCCACTGTTGAGAACTTCAAACCTAAGCAGAATATTAAAGGATTCTTTGTGTTTTGTATGCTACTTTTATTATTTCCTGACTTAACAGTGCTTTCTAAAAAACATCTGAATGGAGGTTTTTGAACTCCTTAACAGTGAATCAGATATTGTCAATATAGAATCACTCTGCACATTTGTATGCATTTCCAAAATGGTAAGATATTGTTTTCTAGGAAATATTGAAGAGCATAAAATGCATATACGATGAAAAAGGCATAAGACATTTTCATCTGGAAGTTATTTACTCTTTGTTAAAGAAGCTATGCCTGGTAAAATGAATAGTATTCTTTCTTGGGAATCTATGGAGAAGTACTTTTTAGTGTTTGTGGAAGCCAATCCACAAGTTCAAGACCCCAACAACAAGCTCCTTAATTTTAAGCACAGTTTTCAGAGCTGTTTAAGATTAAACTATTTTCCTTTGGAGATGCTGTCTGCTAACTTTTCCTTTGTATGGAAAGGCACTATGCTGTTTTGTTTCTTTGGTTACATCTGACCTTTCAGAAACTTCATACTATATATGTTTTCAATAAAACAACGCATTTTCTTGGAATAAAAGTTTGTTTTCAGGCTTAATGATTGGGGTCTGGGATGTTTTATCTGATTGTGAATTTTAATCAGATTCAAAGTTACAATATGCATTCCACCCAGAAAAAAAACGAAAGCAGTTACAATTTTGAGAAGTTGATTAGTTTTAAGATGTGGTGTTTGTTTACTTTTCAATGTAGTTTATATAAATTTAAGGTACAATAGTTAAAGAAAGGGATTATGCTTAGATACTATTAGTTATGCATTTACCTCTCACTGCTGTCATTCCAGAGTTAGAATCTTTATTAAAAATTGCTGTTTCAGATGCACATCTTAAATTTTTAAGGAGCTAGAATATGTGATTTTGTTCTTGAGAACTATCATTATCTATTTAAAATATAAGAAATATTCTCAAATATTTTAGTATAATGCAGTTTGTTTCAGAGTTCCTTGTTTGTGACTTTCAGCCTTATAATAAAAGAAATCAACCGCTAAATTACGTGACATTCAGTGCCCTAAAGCCTGTTCAAGACCTCATTAGGAAGTCATTTCCTGGGAGCTTATATGTGGCATTGTTTATTCCTTTAAAATAGCCAAAGATGTGTGCTACAGATCAGTTTTCCTTCTTAGTTTCATGATACTAACCTTATTTATAACAGGATTTAAAGTAGCAGAAAATATTCTAAGACTAGAAATTCAATATAAAGTGTGACTGAAGTGAAATTTGAATGGGCAGTCATAATCATACATATCTAACACTAGCAGGCTGATACAAAGTACTCTAGACAGCATGGTTAAAACAAACTTCTTTTTATAATGTTCCACTTTATTACCACTTTATGGTCAGAGACATATTTCCTCAATATTTTAAAGTAACTAATGAAATTATTAAGTATATTGAGCCCACGTCAAAGCAGGTTAAAGCACAGACACATTATTAGCTGTTATTTTGTGACATCAATTTCAAAAATATGAATAAAAATATGTATAATGCATATTTTTTTTCTATCACTTTAAAATTCTCTACAGTTCTCTCTGCTTTGGCCTAGTCCCTACATATTTATCTTTTTACTTTAATCCTTTGGCCTCAGATTCATGTACTTTGTGGTTAAAAAAACATCAAGGTTGTTTCAAATACACACCTTTGCATTATATCAAAAAAGCAGAGGTCCAGTTAGCCAGCACCTCTGTCATCTGCAGAAATACAGTTCACTTGGCAGATGTGAACACAACTGGTGATATAATATTTTAAATTCTCTTTCACTTAACTCTTATAATTTGATCACAAGGCAAGTCAAAAGTAAATTAAAACACACCTGTCATCACATTAGGAAAACGTAAAAGACAATGTAGATGCAGCAAAGTATTTGTATTTTCACAGTAATCAACATTTTTCTTTGTAAAGAAAAGCCTATCATCAGATTCAACTCCTCCCTGCTTCTGCCCTTTAAAACCCATTGTCATTGCATTTTTATTTCACAGAATTCGATCCCATCGCAGGACAACATGAAGCTGTGGATTCATCTCTTCTATTCATCTCTCCTTGCCTCTGTGTCTTCACAGTCTCCGTCTACAGGGTCCTCAGCCAGGGGTTCTTGTGATTCTCTCTGCAACTGCGAGGAAAAAGATGGCACAATTCTAATAAACTGTGAAGAAAAAGGCATCAAGACACTATCTCAAATAAGTGTGCCACCATCGCGACCTTTCCACTTAAGTTTATTAAATAATGGCTTGACAATGCTTCACACAAATGGCTTTTCTGGGCTTAGGAATGCCATCTCAATACACCTTGGATTTAACAACATTGCAGATATTGAGACTGGTGCATTTAATGGCCTTGACCTTCTAAAGCAACTTCATATCAACCACAATTCTTTAGAAATTCTTAAAGAGGATACCTTCCATGGACTGGAAAATCTGGAGTTCCTACAAGCAGATAACAACTTTATTACAGTGATCGAACCAAGTGCCTTTAGCAAGCTCAACAGACTTAAAGTGCTGATTTTAAATGACAATGCTATTGAGAGTCTTCCTGCAAACATATTCCGATTTGTTCCTTTGACCCATCTAGATCTTCGTGGGAATCAGTTGCAAACATTGCCTTATGTTGGTTTTTTAGAACACATTGGCAGAATTTTAGATCTCCAGTTGGAGGACAATAAATGGGCCTGCAATTGTGACTTACTGCAGCTGAAGATTTGGTTGGAAAACATGCCTCCGCAGTCTATAATTGGTGATGTTGTGTGCAATAGCCCTCCAGTTTTCAAAGGAAGCATACTAAGCCGGCTGAAAAGGGAATCAATTTGCCCCATTCCACCAGTGTATGAAGAACATGAGGACCCTTCAGGATCATTACATCTGGCAGTCACATCTTCAATAAGTGATGGTCGCATGTTACTCAAGACCACATCCCCTTTAAAACCACCCACCAAAGCACCGGGGTTGACACCATATATTACAAAGCCATCCACTCAACTCCCAGGACCCTACTGTCCTATTCCTTGTAACTGCAAAGAACTATCCCCATCGGGACTTCTAATACACTGTCAAGAACGGAATATTGAGAGTATATCAGACCTAAAACCTCCTCCACAAGATCCTAGAAAGCTTATTTTAGCAGGAAATATTATTCATGCATTAATGAAGTCAGATCTAGTGGAATATGATACTCTGGAAATGCTTCATTTGGGAAACAATCATATTGAGGTTCTTGAAGAAGGATCATTTATGAACTTAACAAGATTACAGAAGCTCTATTTAAATGGTAACCATCTGACCAAATTAAGTAAAGCCATGTTCCTTGGTCTTCACAATCTTGAGTACTTATATCTTGAGTATAATGCAATTAAGGAAATATTACCAGAAACCTTTAACCCAATGCCTAAACTTAGAGTCCTGTATTTAAATAACAATCTGCTACAAGTTTTACCACCACATATATTTTCAGGTGTTCCTCTAACAAGGATAAATCTTAAAATGAACCACTTGACTCATCTTCCTGTAAGTAATCTCTTGGATGACCTTGATTTACTGACCCAGATTGACCTTGAAGACAACCCCTGGGATTGCTCCTGTGACCTTGTGGGACTTCAACAATGGATACAAAAGTTAAATAAGAACACAGTGATGGATGATATCCTTTGCACATCTCCAGAGCACCTAGCCAAGAAGGAATTAAAAGCATTAAATAGTGAACTTCTTTGCCCAGGTTTGGTCAACAACCCAGCCCTGCCAACTCAGACTAGTTATGTAATTGTCAGTACTCCTACAGCTGACACTATTTTAAGATCGCTTACCGATGCTGTACCACTCTCTGTTTTAATATTAGGATTGCTGATTGTGTTCCTAACTATTGTGTTCTGCGCTGCAGGGATAGTGGTTCTTGTTCTCCACCGCAGGAGAAGATATAAAAAGAAACAAGCGGATGAGCAGATCAGAGACAGCAGCCCCGTACATCTTCAATACAGTATGTATGGCCATAAGACCACTCACCACACCACGGAGAGACCCACTGCATCGCTCTATGAGCAGCACATGGTGAGCCCCATGGTTCATGTCTACAGAAGCCCATCCTTCGGTCCAAAGCATTTGGAAGCGGAAGAAGAAAAGAATGAGAAGGAGGGAAGTGATGCAAAACATCTCCAAAGAAGTCTCCTAGAACGGGAAAATCATTCACCACTCACAGGGTCAAATATGAAGTACAAAACCACAGACCAATCGACTGAATTTTTATCCTTCCAAGATGCTAGTTCATTATATAGGAACATATTAGAGAAGGAAAGAGAACTTCAGCAATTGGGAATCACGGAATATCTGAAGAAAAACATTGCTCAACTCAAGCCCGATATGGAGGTCCATTATCCGGGAGCCCATGAAGAGTTAAAATTAATGGAGACATTAATGTACTCAAGGCCAAGGAAGGTATTAGTGGAACAGACTAAAAATGAATATTTTGAGCTCAAAGCTAACTTACATGCTGAACCTGACTATTTAGAAGTCCTGGAGCAACAAACATAGATGGCGAGTTTGAAGGCTTTTTCAGAAATGCTGTGATTCTGTCTTAAGTCGAAATCTTGTAAATAAGTGCCTTACATGAGTGTGTCATCAGTCAGAATTTAAGCACAGCAGTATTTCCATGGGGAAAAAAGAAAGAAACTCAGGGATCAATGGGAGAAGCCATTGCATTGTATTTTAGTAATTTTGTCTGTCCCCAATAAAGTAAATCCTTGCATGTAAATCATTCAAGGATGATAGTAATATTTCTCCATACAGAAGTCCTCTTACTCATCTGAGAGAACTGACTATTTGAGTAACCACATTTTTCTTGAATTACTGTACTTGTGGATTGAATAGAATTGGATTTTTGTCATTTTAAAAGTATACCTGTATATGTAGTTATAGTATGTAAGGAATATATTGTTTATATAACCAGTATATGTATTGAAAAAAATGTACATTGTCAAATGAATTTGATTTTATTACAGTAAAGGCAAAAGGAACTGGATCTTTAATGTTACAAATAGTAATAGGTAAGGAAAAATATAGAGGGTCAAATTATATGGGCTATGAGTGAGCCAAAACTTTGAACATTTGAGGATTAAAAAAAATGCCCTGGCTATGCTTTCTGAATTTAAAAATCAAGAATGATTAGTATTATGGGGAAATGAATAAGCAAACTTTTTGGGTTTTCTGCACACCTTGTGTGGACAATCTTACTGTAAATGCTGCTGTGAACTAAGGTATTCAAAGTTTGTGTTCAAAGTTTAATTCTTATTCTTGGAATAATTTTAAAATGCTACTGATATTCAACTGTAAATATGATTAGTGCATATATTCAGTTTAGTTTCCTTTATAGCTTGATCCTTTGTAAATTTGAATGACCATGATAGAAATATGTTTCTTGTGGCAAGTAATTCACAGGTGTAAAACAAATAGGAAAATGTGTAATTATATTTTTATTGATGTATAATGATAGTTGCCAAAAATTAGTTGCAAAAGGCACTTCTGAAGGTAAGTGGTTTAAGTTGCCTCGAGAGTGGCACAATGTAGCTTTATTTTACAAGAAAGTATAGCTAGATTTCTATGAACTATTTATTCTGTACAGTTTTGTATATTTTTGGTTCACAAAGGTAATTATTCTTGGGTGCCTTTTAAGAAAACTAAAAATGCTTCTCAGTACAATAAAACTAAAATGAAAACCCTCTTTTTAAATGTACTTTCTTCAGTGAAAGTCAGGATTAACACATACACTTACATACACATATGCACACATACAAATACAAAATGAGACTTCTGCTTATTGTCCAAGCAGAATCATCTTAATCACCATCTGCAAAAAGGCCTGCATGTGACTGAGACAGAGCCACACTTAAAGTCTGACCAGTAGCTCTCCTTTTCCAGCCAACCATGTTCCCACTCATCACAAATGGAAATTATTTTTCTTCTTTGTGATTATACAATCCACCATGCAGTAGATTTTCACAAAGCAAAATGGGATTAATTGGGCAACCTAGTTTGTTTTTTGAACACCAGGCAAATCCATGCACAAGGTTAGGAAATAACCTATTTTCTATTAGGAAGAATTTTCTCTATGTTAACTCTATTTTAGTGATTCCTGAATGTTTGATTTTCAATACTCAACTGTCTGCTCTAATAGAATATGTTATTTCTTTTATTTTGCCTGGGAGTTCCTATTGATGAAAACAGTAGGGGCCTTTGTTGCATGGTGTGAAGACTAAGTAGAAATCTATTACTTTACCATATCACTAAAGTTTTTTATTTTTATATATTCAGTTATTTTAAAAATATTTATTGTTGAAAGAATTATATAGGTCCTCCTTTCCCCCCATTAACCTCTTCCAGCCCATTCCCATTCCCACCCCCTCCAGGCTCTCACCAGCTCACTGTCTATGTCCCCTGGTAATGCATATTTGCATACAAGTTCATTGGTTGATCTCTCCTCACCCACCCTTCCCTGTATTCTCTCTGAGGTTCCACAGTCAGTTCTTGCTTCTATGTCTCTGGGCCTATATTTGATCATCAGTTTATTTGGTTCATTAGATTCCACATATGAGTGAGATCATGTGATATTGGTCTTTCTCTGACTGGCTTATTTCACACAGCAAAATATTCTCCAGGTCCATCCACGCTGTTGCAAATGGTAAGAGATATTTCTTTTTTATTGCCATGTAGTATCCCATTGTGTAAATGTACCATGCTTTTTCATCCACTCATTCTCTGATGGGCAGTTAGGCTGTTTCCAAATTTTAGCTATGGTAAATTGTGCTGCTGTGAACATAGGGGTGTATATATCCTTTCTGATTGGTGTTTCTGGTTTCTTGGGATATATTCCTAGAAGTGGGATGACTGGGTCAAATGGGAGTTTCATTTTAAGTTTTTTGAGGCAACTCCATACTGTTCTCCACAGTGGCTGCACCAGTCTGCATTCCCACCAGGAGTGCAGGAGGGTTCTTTTCTCTCTACAATCTCACCTACACTTGTTGTTTGTTGATTTGTTGATGGCAGTAAGGTTTTCTTTTAAATCATTGAATTATGAATAGAAAACAATCTAGAATTATGTGTTACAAGGTTCGTTGTAAACCTAAATTTCTCCATTAGTTTACAAAGTTGAAAAAGGACAATGGTGAGAATTCTTTTTTGTAAGTAACACTAAGGGGAAATCTCTGTGCATATGGAATGGTAGATGTATTAGTCACTAAAAATATTCAGCACGGTAAGGAATAATAAACCTTCTAAAGCATGATTTTCAAAGTTACATTCTAAAGAGAAAAACACAGCAAGGACAGCATTAATGTTATTGTACTTCTACTCAGAGTATCTGCCAGGATTTTCTGATTCCAATCAGGTGCATAAAGGTATTATAAAGACTTAAGAAATTTCCATGCCTGGAGGACCCTTGGAAGGACTCCATGAGTGCAGACAGAGACATGTCCTCAAGAACGTTCTTCTCTTTTGGGTGGGGAAATATACTACAAAAAAAACTTCATTCACTGTTAATTGCCTGAAGTAGTAATGTTCATTTTTCAACTTCTAATTAAGGAAGAATGAAGTTGTTTATAAAGTCATGCAAATATGTCCACCAAATTAAATACATCCCCAAGATTAAAAGCCTGTGGGAGTCAGTATATGTTTTATAATAATGCAAAAATCATTACAGTTTCCAAAGGGCAAGATATTTAAAAAATTGAAAAGTTTCATTCGTGATGGCAACTTTCTTATGTGATTTGGTGCACTATAAGAAGTTGAGAGTTGAGAAAGCTGGTGTATTATATTCCCTATATTCCCTGTTTATTTATCTAAGTAGTCAATGTGGTCTGTTTCTGTAATCAATTGATAGATACAGAGTCCCAAGTCCTAATTCTCAACCTTATTTACACACTTGGATATTCTACAAATACATTAGACTTTTAATTATCCTACATATTTTTTTTTTATTTAAGCAGACAGTATAATTTTCTCATTGCACATCAGTGCAAGTTTTCTTTTATGTCACAATCTTGAATTTTAAATAGGGATACAAGTGTATAATCACATTAGATTAAATTTATTAAATTCTGTCAGTCTGTTAGACATAGATTGTGCTAATCCCAATTTAAAATAAATACTTTTTCACTAAATTAACATAAAAAATAGCTACTGTACATTTATTGAAAGTGTTCTTCAGATATCTTCCATTGACTTCCATACTGGGATATAATTTTTACAGTCTTATTGGAATGGATTATATCAATGATGACTGTTGTTCCTCTTGTATTAATCTCATATCATGGAGGAGAGAAGGTGTGTTTTTCCTCTGTTCTAACATTATTAACTAGAGGTCTGGTGTACGAATTTGTGCATGGATGGGTCCCTCAGCCTGGCCAGCAATTAGGATCCATTGGAGCGGACTGGCCAGGGGTGGAGCCACAGGAGGTTGGCCTATGGGCTACCAGGGAGGGGCCACAAGAGGTTGGTTGGCCTGGGGGAAAGACCACAGGAGGTGGGCCAGTCATGGGAAGTTGGCTGAGGAGCTCACTGACCACCAGGGGGCAACTCCTACATTGAATGTCTGCCCTCTGGTGGTCAGTGTGCATATTAGCAACTGGTTGACCAGTTTTCCTGGTCATTACAGTCATTCTGGTCATTCGGTCACTTAGGCTTTTATACATATAGAAAGTAAATTGAACTACCATCTAAATGACATTTAAGTTGTGTTGATGCTTTTTCCCAATTAATTTACAAAGCTTACACTTTGATCCAGGATTTAAGAATGTGATTTGAGTATTCCCTTGTTATTAAAATGCAACTTTTAAAAATGATGGTATCTATCTATATATAAATCTACCTATCTGTTTATCTATGAATTATCTATCTATCTGGAGAATACCCAAATAAATAAATTTACATTTTTTTCCTAGAGGGAGAACTAATAAAAATGAGATGAATAGCTGGTTATGGTCTCAATATAATGCAATTTATTTTGAATTACTTATTTTTCTTAAATAACTAATAGTTATATAATCAAAGTCACTTTGGAAAGAAGAGAAACACAATTAACTTGCAGAATTGTTGGACAAAAAGTTTTATTTTTTAAATAGAAGCAAACACATAAATAAATATCCAGAGAAAGCTTCCCAAATTTCACCAATTATAAGACTTACTACAAAATTCTCATCAGAGACTGTTCTATACATAGAAAATAATCCATGTTCCTAAAAATGCTGACTATTTGAGAAGTTCGGATCTACTGCTAATTGATTGATGATCTTACAATGAATTTGAGGATTCCCTTCTATTTCTCTTTCCTGAATACTTTTATCATGCAGGCACAGGTGTCTGCAGTTTTGTTCTTGAGAGGATGGGGTATCAAAAGAAGATATGCTTTTTTGATAGGAAAAGAGACAAGTACAACTCCTTCTCAATGGAATAATCCTATATGTGAGCATTCCCCATTGAATGGATCAAGTATGATCCATTCAATGGGGAATGGACAAGCAATTAAAAATAAAATATTACTT